AAAAAAAAAAAAAATATACAACAATTAGCTGGGCATGGTGCGTGCCTGTAGTCCCAGCTACTCGGGAGGCTGAGGCAGGAAAATTGCTTAAACCCAAGAGGCGGAGGTTGCGGTGAGCTGAGATCGCGCAATTGCACTCCAGCCTGGGCAACAACCGCGAAACTCCGTCTCAAAAAAAAAGCAGTCTCATAAATTGAGAGTTAAACCTTAATATTTAGAGGCATTTCACACACAGTATTTAATACAATTAGATAGTTAATGACTCTTGGTGACTTTGTGCTTAAGGAGCATGAACATTGTTAGACAGAATCCTAGCTGTCCTTAGCTTAGTTCTCTGACTCCTTGGCTTTGGCAAGTCATTCCCTGACTGATTGCCAATGGTTTCTGTTACTTGGCTGGTTGTTCATCTCTGGCTGGTCCCTGCACTGTTTAGGGAATATACAAAATATACAGCATATATTCGAAAACTATGACAATACAATACTCTGATAACTAATAATTAGACAAGCATTAAACATATTTATATGGGGGGAATGGGAAGAATTGGTAAAAGGATACAAAATTTCAGTTAGACAGGAGGAATAAGTTCAAGAGATCTATTGTACAACTACACAGTACAATTATTACATTATTAGATTATTGTTAATCATAGTTAATAACAAGGCACTGTGTACTTGAAAATCACGAAGAATGAATTTCAAGTGTTCTCCCCACAAAGATGCAATACATATGTTAATAGCTCCATTTAGCATACACGATTTTTCAAAACATGTTTTACACCATATATACAATTTTCAACTGCCAATTAGAAGTACATAAATAAAAATTTTTTAAAGTTTAACCAAAAATAAAAATAAAGGCCAGGCACAGTGGCCCATGCCTGTAATCCCAGCACTTTGGGAGGCCAAGGCAGGTGGATCACAAGGTCAGGAGTCCAGCCTGGCCAAGATGGTGAAACCCAGTCTCTACTAAAAATACAAAAATCACCCAGGCGTGGTGGCAGGCACCCATATTCCCAGCTACTCGGGAGGCTAAGGCAGGAGAATCACTTGAACTGGGGTGGCAGAGGTTGCAGTAAGCTGAGATCGCACCTCTGCACTTTAGCCTGGGCAACAGAGTGAGACTCCATCACAAAAAAAATAAAAATAACAGAAAAGAAGATCCCCCCCCCAAAAAAAAAACAACAAAAAAGTTTAACCAATATTTCTCTTAAGTGGGCCCAAGTTATTGCCGTTGTCAACACAAATGAGGAAACCACAATCATAGAATCAATGACCTTGACTTGTCCAAAATAAATGTAGAACTAGAAGCCAGCTCCTAGGATTTCTCAGAAGGTATTTTCCTTTGAGGTTAAATCAGAACATTATGAACAGTTCCAGATCCCTCTGGTAAAATGGAATTAGACTGGAAACTTCTATCAAGAAAAAAAATGTAATTCCTCATTTCTCCTCCAAAAACAAAAAAAAGCCCTTATGAGATATAGAGGTGCCCTTCCCATGAGAGCTTCAGATTGCCACTAATGAAAAATACATCTTTCTTGGCATTGAATCCTAGTATGGACAGCACTATACAACTCAAATGATACTGTATGGATACACTTAATGAGTATAACGATCCTCAGCTTGTAAATACTAACCCCAAAACTCCTATAATGAACTGTTTGGGACCAATATGATCATTCAAACGAAATGTTAATTCTACCAAAAGCCCCTAACAAAATATATCAGAGAATTCAAAACCATTCAATTATGGTCAAACCATCTGGAATAAAGGAGGCAGCACTAGCAAAAACAAGCCTTGGCATACCTCAGAAAGAAGACACATATGGAGATGAAAAACAGGGAGAAAATGACGGATTAAGATAACCCTGATTTCAACTCCAAGAGGAATCATTTTGTCGCTGAAAAAAACTAAACAAAGTCCCTCTATTTTTAAACTGGGTGACTGAAGTGGAAAGAGAAATGAGAACACATTTGGGGAAATCAGGGATTGAAATCTCAATAGCATTGAAGCTAATTTTCCACAACAAATAATTTCCAAAAATAGGGCTGGCACAAAACTGTACTGGCATTTGTACCAGGAGTGCCTAAAGGCACTAGTCTAGTCGCTGTGAGTAGAGAGGCTGAGTAGAGAATGAGACCTATATAGCAGAATGTTCAGAATGAAAGAAAATCTAGGGTATTTCTCTGGACAACTAACTCATATTTTAGAGAAAACTGGGACACTCACTTTCTCTCCCAAATTAAAAGATGCACTAAAAATGAATCCCCTGTACTGCTTTGGGGCAGCAGAGGACCGCCCTGGGTGCTAATGCCAATCGCCACCCCAGTAGGGGTCCAGGCACCCTTTGCCAGTGGCCCGCTGGGAACGCTGACCGTGCCCCTTACTGCCGGGAGCAGCCAGTGTTTGAAGGCATTAGAAGCAAACGCAAAGTACACCAGGAACTCCCTCTCTCCGAAGCTAAATGTCTAGATACGCTCTCGAAATCGTAGGACCCGTGGGTGGCTGACCTCGACGTTATTTTCTCAGAGCTCGGCTCTGGGTGCAGGCACGAGAGCAATTTGCGGAAGAAGTACTAGAAGAGGTGGAGAAAACAGAAGGGGCGAGAGCCGCGCGCCCCTCGATAGGGAGTCAGTGACCCCGAAGCCCTACGGAGCGCACTGGAGCTGCTGGCGGGGGACTGGAAAACGGGTCGCTAGGATTCGCGAGCGTTTGACCTCCACACCTATGGGTCCTCTCCCCGCCCAGGCACAGGGTAAACACTTGTCAGCAAAACGTGAGGGACCAGTTCAGGTCTCCGGAGGGCCGCAGCCACCAACTCCCAGCCCCACACGAAAGTCACCTCAGCAAGAAGGCCGCCATCTCGGGTTCCGGTCTGGACGGAAGTGACGCCAGGCTGCCCCGCCGCCGGAGGGTGGAGGCGCGCGGGCCGGGGTTTGGGTGTCAGGTGACTAGTCTCTAGAAGGCTGCGGAGCTTCTCCGCTCATCTCTCCCCAGGTGGTTTGCTGGTTGTTTTCTGGTTCTTTGGTCTCCTCCCCTGCCTCCTTCCGCTCACTTCTACCGGAATTTACCAGGATTTCGGCAGAAACGCCGCTGGCTCAAAATCTGCAGTCTATGTTCCACCGGCTTGCATATTCCTTTTGTATCCCACTCCCGAACGGCGAGCGCCGGACTTGTTTAGAGCCTTCCTTAAGGGCTTAGCTGTCTGTTGTACTCCCTCTCCCTCCTAGGTCGGCCTAAAAACGTCGTGGTTGGCCGGTTCAGACACCCAAGAAAAAGATACTTTGGGCTCCTTCCTGTTCTAATGTGAAGCTTTAACCAGAGAGAGACATAAATTGGGATCTAAGTTGGGGAGTGTGTAAAGGGGCCTCGAGAAGACCTTGCGGACCACCATTCCCATGAACGCGGAGCCTCATCCAACCATCTGGATCAGACCCCACAATTCCTGGGTTTGAGCTGCCACATGAACCAGGCGCCCACTAGCCGAGGACAATGCTGTCTTGTTCCTTGTTTCAACGCTATGTGGGTGACACCCACAGTTAGAAGAACCTGGAGTGAGGGGGAGAACACGCTTTGATTTATATATATATAGGAACCCAAGCCCCAAGCACAGGAATCAACTGACGACCACTCAAGACTGAAGAAAGAAGAGCAAGTGAGAAAGGAAGGGAACAGAGTGCAAAAGTTCTTGAGTAGTTTGTGGGGAGCAGGGTGGAGAAGAGTTAAAAGGACAGCCCAGAGCAAAATTTTTAGTTTTATTACTACAAAAAACATAATTATATTAATATTCAGATCTTATGTATATTTAAAATCCCTGCACTTCAGGATTTAAATAGCACAAATTCACTTATTTCTGCATCAAATGCATAATACTATTTTGCATTTCTATAATGCTTGACAAAGCAAGCACATTCATACGCTTTAGGATTGTAAGAGGTTCTCTAATCCAAGCTGGGATCTTCTCTGCAACACCCCTGACAGCTGATCTTCAAGACTCTGCTCCCACACATTTAATGATGGGTACCTCAAAAAACAAGTTTTATTTAGTGAACAATTTATTCATTAGAAAGACATTTAAATACAGCTTTGTGCTGTTCCAGTCATTGATCCTACCTTCAGCTCTCTGGAGCTTCACATTAACCCAGGGGATGCCTCTTTCACTCAGCTGTTTTTTTTGTTTGTTTGTTTTTTGTTTTTTGAGACAGTGTCTCACACTGTCAATCAGGCTGGAGTACAATGGCACGATCTCCGCTCACTGCAACTTCTGCCTCCCAGGTTCAAGCGCTTCTCCTGCCTCAGCCTCCCGAGTAGCTGGGATTACAGTCATGCACCACGGTGCCAGGCTGATTCTCTGTATTTTTAGTGGAGACGGAGTTTCACCATGTTGGCCAGGCTGGTATCAAACTCCTGACCTCAAGTGATCTGCCCGCCTCGGCCTCCCAAAGTGCTGGGATTATAAGTGTGAGCCACTGCTCCCAGCCCAATAGGCTCTTTAAATATTAATAGTTTCATTTAGCGTGTAGGTATGGACTTTTCTTCAGTCTGTGAAATGTTCTGTAGGAGGTTCAAAGCTACAAACGTTTATATTGTCCCCAAGAAGGCTATAGCCTTAGCGGGATCAGTAAAGAAATGCAACAAAGAAAGTAGCAACAGCCCCTTGAAAACAGTGTAGATAAAAGGGGTGGTTAGTGTTAGGGTCACAGCAAGGCAAGCCCATAGACCCCCTCCCTGTTCTCACATGCTGAGCCAAGCTCATAACAAAAACAGCCTCAAGCCTTGTAAACAGGGCACCTCAGTTCCAGGATGTGGTGGTCGCACCAGCTCTCAAACCCAGGATGTTAACCCGATTAAGCAGAATGTCAGCCCCTGAGAACCAAGATGCACTTTATCTTAGAATAGCACCCCACTACCTGCAAACCCCGTATATAACCCACATAGTCTGTAAGCCAGACTGCTGCCTTCACTGGCTGTGGTAAGGCAGCAGCCTGGCAGTTTGAAATAAACTTGCTAAACCTGACCCTGCGTCTGCCTCTCCATCCTTTTGGTCAACCTTACAGTTAGATAAGGAAAAAATGATTACTTACAGTTGGGAGGTGGAGTTAGGTGGAAATTTTGGAGGGGCAGAGTTTTGGGTTTTTTGTTGTTGATGTTTACTTTGAATTGCTGTTTTATAGAAATCTTGACTACAACATCCTGTAAATATTTGTCAATGATGATAATTTTGCCTGTGGACTTCATCAGCAATCCCATATTTAGAATTCCACAACCCAAATCTGATACTAATGACCAAACCCACCAGGACTGTGGCCTAATGAGATCCCAGGAAGGTACCAGGACACCGTTCCCTTACATGGGCGGGTCTGCAGTGGTCTCATATTGGGAATAACAATGACCACCCCACTCAAATTAACCTCTAGAGGTCAGGCACAGTGACTCACACCTGTAATCCCAGTACTTAGGGAAGCCAAGGCAGGAGGATCACTTGAGTACAGGAGTTCAAGACCAACCTGAGCAACATAATGAGAACCCCGTCTCCAAAAGAAATTGAAAAATTAGCTGGGTGTGGTGGGGCCTGCCTGTAGCTCAGCTAATCTGGAGACTGAAACAGGAAGATCGCTTGAGCCTGACAGATTGAGGCTGCAGTGAGAGCAATGATCACACCACTGCACTACAGCCTGGGCCACAGAGCAAGACCTTGTCTCTGAAAAAAAAATTTTTTTTTTTAACTAGCTGGATGTGGTGGCATGCTCCTGTAGTGGTCCCCAGCTACTTGGAAAGCTGAGGTATGAGGATTACTTGATCCTCAGAGGTCAAGGCTGCAGTGAGCCATTATGCCACTGCATTCCAGCCTGGGCAACAAAGCAAGACTGCTGCAAGAAAACAAAAAAAACTTAGCTCTGGTTATGTAGACATTCCTATTGCTAACTCCACCCTAACACCAACACCTTCAGATTCTCATGATGTACCAAATTGAATTCACCCTGTTTCACCTGTCATTTAAGGCCTTTCATAGACTGGCTTTGACTTTCCTGTCTGGTCTTGTTTTGACTATGTCACTTCAAGTTTCCCCAAATCAAGTCAAAATTAATGGCACAAGATCTGCCCTGAATATATACAGCACATCACAAACCTACATAACACACGCACACACACACACAACACGCACACACAACACACACACACACACA